GAAGTTGACTTTCATGACGTTGTCTTGCCCAGTATTCTTCATTAAAGGCACAATTACGGCAGAATTCCCCTTTGATGGTAGAGCAACGGCAACCCTTGTTTTTCTTGAAAATAAATTTACCAAAATAAAAATAAAAAATGGAACCAACAACAATAAATAAAAAAATACCAATGAATAAAATAACAATCATTTTTTTTAAAAAATAAATAATTTTTTAAAATAAAATAAATATATATAAGTGTAAAAATAAAAAAATAAATTATATTATTTAATGTAAAAAAAAAAATATAAGCTGGATGTAAAAAAATATATGTGAGTGATAAATGAAAAAAAATATATGTGAGTGGTAAATGAAAAAAAAAAAAAAAGAAATTTAAAAAATTTTTAAAATTATAAAAAAAAAAAAAAAATAATAAAAAATATTCAATTGTTTAATATAATGTTTTAATTTAATTATTATAATTTATAATTTATAGCTGTATAGATTTTATTTATTTTATATTTTTAAATTGAGAATTTTAATTTTATCTATATTTAAATTTGAAAATTTCATTAAATTCTCTCTTAAATGATATCCAGAATACCTATCTAATTTTAAAAAAAAGATTTAAAAAAAAAAATTAATTAATTTCAAATATTATTTCTATATAGTTTAATACTTTATAAGTTTAATTCTGATGTATAAATAATAATTATCTATTAATAAAAAATATATATTTAAAAAAACTATTGAAAATTTATATTAATTTACTTTTATTTTAATATTATTATTTATTTTTTAAATTAATTTTTGAACTTCGATTCCACAATTATTATTTTAAATGAATAGTTTTATTTCAAACCAATACAATAGTTATTAATAAAAGTATCAATAAAAAATAATATATGAATTATAATTTTTTTATATTTATTTATTTTTCTTTTTAAATATAAATATTATAACAGGTATATATATAGAACTAAAATTTTATTTATCTTTTAATATGGTTTCATGAAGGTTTTTAGAATAAAAAAATATTATAGAATAAAATTTAAAAATGAAAAAATAATTTAAAATGAAATTAATTAAAAAATAAATTTGTTAAAAAAAGGGGGAAATGAAATGTGTGTTGGT